AGTCGTAATGATTCATTCATTACACCCAGAAATACAACTTTTAAAAAAAATATATACCTTTTACTAAAAAAATATATTCGTTATTAGATTCATTTTGGTGAGACAATAATATGTTAGAAACTAATTAGGACAATACGTCTTATCGCTGAGATCTATATCATTAACGCGTATAAGTAAAATATAATTATAACAAGACCTGTACTACTGAAGCGTGTAAATGAAATACGACTACTTAAAAAGGAACTATTTTTTTCAAATTTGACTGTGTTGTATTCCACACTATTATATTATATAACATTACATTTCATACTACAGTATGAAGAAAAGAAAAGGACTAATAAATAAAATTACCGAGCTCACTTGATGGTTAGATCAACCGCGTTAAGAAATATATAGTATCAGTGCCATCGAATTCGTCATTAGAAACATTACTACGTCCATGCCGCTGTTCAACGATCTGGCAAGTGGTAGAAAAAAGCAAACGTCGGCCATAAATTATCGTATCAATCGGGCGAAGACGCGGTGAGCAACTGTAAAATCAATCTCTTGTTTGAAACTCGCCGCGCACGAGATAGAACGGGTGCAATTTCGAATCCATTAGAATCAATTTTCTTAACGGAGTCCGAGGATCGCACGGAACGCACGCGTGACGTACCCGCGGCCCTCGGTGTCGCTGGTTTCACCGGTGATTACGATCCGTACGAGACGTACACGCTAGCGCAACAAATTGTTCGCCGTGAACACGAACGACTCAACCTAGATAACGAGGGATCCGAACAGGAGAGAACGATCGAAGCCACGGCAAACGTCGATCGGCCAGAATCGGTACGACCTGCGTCTCTGTTTATTTCCCTATTTCTCTTCGTCGTTCTTCCGCTTGATTCTCGCTTCTGTCGAAGAAACGCGTACTTTCTTCGAAACAGAGTTTCATCTCGCTCACGCTCGACTACTCTACTTTTTCAGAAAAGTATGCAACTCTGACAAATATGCTGACTCACAAAAAAATAGCTATTATATATATATATACACGGTCTGTTGAAAACATTTCGAAATTTCATTGACGTTGTAACGATGTGACGGACGTCGTGACAGTCTAAATTTATGAAAAGTACTCTCGCGGATCAGAGTGTATAGTAAACACGTATCAAACGATTTCAAAGTGGGACAATCCGTCTTAAAATTTCGAGAATTTCTTTCGTTGAATTGCCGATTCAAGACGTTACTCGGCGAATTTAATTGCCGGGAATCTCTTTTTTCGAAGATTAAATGATTTAACATTCTCGGACTTGTTGCGACGAATTTATATCGATTAATAGCACACGGATTTTAAGAAAGTTGAAATATTCAAGAGCATGCAAAATTTATATATTGTAATATGTAAAAATATAAAAGATATCTAAAGTAAATTTCTAGGTCTAAAATTTTCTGTATAGAATCTGTTTGTTTACTTCTGTCCATAAAAATACGAATTTATACAAATATAATTAAATAATGAAATGACTAAAAAAAATATACATTTTGTGTATCTTGTACCTTAAAATTAACCGCAAATTAAATCAAAAAATTGATCAACAAAATTACACAAAAAATCCCAAGAACCTAAAGAATCTTTTGTTCTCTTAATTTCCATTCTTCCATCTTTTTAATCTCGATTGAATGTTCTAAAGTGGATCTTTATTCAATCTGTATATTGATTTTCTTTTTTCTCCTTTTTAAATTTAGCTCATTCATTAGACCGATTCACGGCGAATGAAGGCCAAACGATCAGATTCTCCGAACCGCCATGTTTCATTCACAGAACACGCCGTACGTTTCCTCGTTTGAACCGTTAAAGACACGAGACTGACTCGATACCCGAGTCGAGTAATAGAGAGAAGAAACGACACATCAAAAGATGGAAACAGAAACTGTTGATTCTCTCGTGGATCCGAGAAAGAGACGATGATCAGCAAGGCTGGAGAACCCGAGAAGCCAATTTTCACGTCAGTTTCGAGAATTCTAGCGGGAAACGAGCACGCGCGTACGAAGAAGCAGTGAACGTTGTTATATGTAGGTGAACAAGTTGTTCGACCAGTCTACGATAAACTGTTATATGCACTGGCAGTATGCCATCCGCTGTTTGAAAACCAATTTCTAATAGCTACGCCGACGATTGAATGGACTACCTTACATAGAAGTAGAGAAACTGGGAGGTATAGCTATCAAGATCGTTAGGTTCGCTGCAAGAATCGTGTAAAAAGTGTTTTGCATTCTAATACGTGAACGCCTGGTACACGTGACTCTATGACGTGATGATTGATCGACATTTTTGGGAAAGTGAGAAAATATTCTGTACCGTAAGATTGATTAAAGTACAATGTATAGAGATAGAGAAAATGGAATGAAAAATAATCGAGATTGTTAGATCCGATGGGGGAGTCGTCAATAATCGCCACGTATGTATTTTATACGTACATGGTTCTTGTACGTAAAAATTTTGGTAAAATGAGAAAATATGAAAATAAGAAAATGAAAGGAAAAATGTCATTATCAAAATTGTTGAATCCACTGGACGAAATGCATTAATTTGCCAACGATTATCAAGTTTCTTGCGAACACGTACGTAAACATGATTCTTTAACAATAATTCGAGCGATATTTAGGCTCGCTGGATTGTTAGAGAAAAATGCGAGTTTGCCGATCGGAACGGTCAGTCGGTCGTTCCGTAATTTCTGAACTTACCGCGGTTGAAATACTTCGGGTGAAAATCTCGTTAATGAATTCAGGCTTGAAAGTTAAACAACTCTGCCGCGGACAATCGGTTGTTGTATGCAAATGTCGAACATGCTCCAACAACGGAACAAATCTTGCGGAGATTCGTAAAAAGTCCAGTTCTGCCTACCTCCATTTTCGTACGACGTGCGCGTTTAACGACGTTGTGTAACGATATTTCAACACGTGTATATTTGGTTGCAAAAATGTCTTACTACGAACATCAATTCCGCTGTTCGTGTCTCTGTTAAACACGGCAAGCGAAAAAAAAAAAAAATTAAAGGGGAGATTCAAGAAGCCGAAATGAAAAATTACGGAGAGAAATTGAAAATGTACGATCGTTGAAAATTAAGATTTAAGAGAGATGATAATCATCATGTGATCAAGTTCTCAATTCTCAACGCTTGTCATTCTTTCCGAGTTAGAGGGTATGATCGATGATGGGCCAACAGGTTCCACGAATTTTTCGTAAAAATCGATACAGACCTTTGAATAATTATAATTAATCGTTTGTATTTAACGATGATGTATATATATATATATATTTAACGATATTTGAAAAGGATTTGGTAATTGGCAACTCAACTTGGAATTTCGTAACTTGATTTTCATTTAAATGACACTAGTGGCGCTGAACGATATCTGGAGGATCGTGCGATTAACAGAAATCGGAAATAATTGCTAGCTGTAGAGCGATTAATCGCGCTTGCTATAATTATAGCAATTACTTCCATCGCAGGCGGCGATCGTGCAACGTTTGCCGTATTTTGCGACTCGGTTGGTCTCCAGCCACCAACTTCTCTCGTTAAAAGTTCGTCAGCTGACCGGAGCGCGTGCGCTCGCGTTCTAGAATCCTAGTCAATCGAGTTTGTCGGTCGTAATCGAAAGTTTTCATAGTCGACGGACAACGATCGAGACGTGGAGGAACGCCAGAAAGGCAAACTGAGTCAAAAGAGAAGAGATCGACAAGAATTGTCGTAAGAGAGTTTATCCAATATCGATCGAACGGATGTAAAATGGACGTAATGACTTAATTCTTTGAGTGACACACTTGCGAGACACTTGTGTGGTACTCGTGAATGGTCCGCGACGTAACGGTGCAATTTTACACAGAAAACACTATTTCTTTCTCTCTCTCTTTCTCTAGTCCCGTTAAAAGATTCTTCTTCTGGTTTGAAATCGATCGACTTCTTTCGCGCGCTTTTTGCGCGTTACTTTCCACATCAACTATCACTCGCGGTCATCGGGACATCGAGGATCAGGAAAAACGTTGGACTTTGCGGTTCCATTCATGGCGAACATGTATTAGACATTTCGTTGGAATGTTGAAAATTCATTGAAAATCTAGCTACGAGTTTCTCAGGAAACTGCAGCGTTTGCTCCGAAAATTTTGACGGAACGATCCGTTCGATCTTTACTTGACGGGAAAGCATGCGGAGTGAGTCGTAACCTTGAGTCGGTTGTTTCCAGAATGCTTTATCCGTTCCGTGAAACGAAACACCAGCTTCTAGCATGATTCCCTAAGTGAAATCGATCGAGACTCACACGAGAGATGAGAATCTCGTCTGACATTTACTGTGACATTTACGAAAGTCGTGTTGTTTGTTTGATCAGAGTAAAGAAAAAGACCTGCGAGTCGCGTGAGAAAACACGATCGTCACGTCGCTGTGTAGCGTAGCTTCGTTCCCTCGAACGAAGTATTATCCCGTGACACACCACAATATCATTCACTGATTCTCCCTGGTACGTTTTGTCGTTACACAGTTCGAGTAAGTACACTTCACTCGCGACTGCCTGCTGTCAGCAGTTCGGCGCACGAAAATCCACGTACTGGCGAGACCCGATTGAATGAAACGAGCGAGGGAACATACGAAGAAAAACGATCGTAGTACGTAGCGGGCGAAGCAAGAAGAAGGCAGGAAGAAGACCAAAGGGGGAACTGGAGGATATTGGCTGGGAGAATCGGCGTGGAAGCAAAACGGAGCGAGGGAAGACACAAGGGAAGGTCGAGGACCGTGAATCCGAGAGGGACGGAGATACCGGTGCAGCCAGCCGAGTAAGGAAACGTAAACGAGTACCGGAGCGAAGAAGAGAAGGAGGAGGAAGAAGGAAGAAACAACGGCGCAAGCAGAGATAACGATAGAGAGGGAACAAGTCGAGTAGAAGGTGCAGAAAGAGCAAAGAGGACAAAGAAGTAGAACAAGAAGAAGAAGAAGAAGAAAAAGAAGAAAAGCAAGAAAATGACTCACCGTTCTTCCTACCGGCAGTTTGCGTGACACGTATCGCAAGCGAGACACGCGTGCATGCAAATATCGTCACGAGGACGAGCATCGCGTGGCCACGAGCGGCGGCGAGTCTCATGGCTGGCAATCGGTGGAAACTTTCTCGAACTAGATCTCCGACTTGTGGTGAGACTTGCTGAGGCAATGGCTCAGCGTCGACTGAGACGTTCTTTGTGTTCGCCGGTGTATCTCAACTGTCACTTCCCTCTCGTCGGGTTTCACACCGTTCGCCCGTTATCCCCGAGGAATGCGAGAACTACCACCACGGCGACGACGTCCGATACGAGACGCGAGGTCGCGTATCTGCTCCCGAAATCCCGCGAAGACGCGCGTATATCGGTCTTATCCGACTAGTCGTAATCCAGTGTGTGCTCTTGTACATCTATTTAAAACCTATCGCTCCACCTCGCGCACCTTACCATTGGCTCCTGCCCCAATTCCTTGTCCAATGATACACTGTTCCGCGCATTCACCTCCTTTTCAGATCGAGACGTACAGCACCGGCCGGAGAGGTGGCAGAAAGTGTCGGCTAGTAGGTGGTAGGTGGTAGCGATACCCGGGTAGGTGGTAATATCACCAGATGTTTGGAAGGCGCCGCCGCTAATAATCAGCTTAGAGGTCTGGAAAAGTGACGTTCAAGTTCCCCCGCCGTCGGTTACAACTTCGGACTCCACTTCTGACGAAGGTGAAGGGGTTTTAGGTGGGGTTCTTTTGCTCCCGTAAGTAAGATCGCGCCAAGCTGAAACGTTAGCTTTCTTCAGCGCCCTTCTACGTTCCACCGGGTTCCTACCGGGTCTATCCGTCTCTCTGACAGAGGAGTCTGATAGTGGTAGGCGCACGTGGAGGGGCCGGGCACCTTGTCTACGCTCGAGCTGCGTTTCGCGTTCCTTTAGAAGCTTCCTTGCACGGACACGTGTTACACGTTCCCGACTTCGGTGCTACCTGACGGTTTATGCCTTCGATACGATTCGAACCATCACCTTGGCACACCTTGACAATGAGGAACGGTCCCATCGAGGTTTCTGCTTGACAATTATCGTCGAGAAGCGTCGATTTTGGGTTTTTGCAAGATTAGAGAGCAGAATTGTTGGAACTTTGTTTTGTTGCCAGGTTCAGGGACCATGATCGAATAGGTTTGTCCTCGATTGCTTCTAGTCGATACATGTACCTATAAATATCGCTGGACAGGTGCTGTTTATTGGTCGGAGAAAAATCATCGGATTAGCAAACGCGCTAGACCAACGTACCTAGCCTAGGGTTTCGAAAGCGATTGAGGAACGCGACGGCTATCGAGATTTATTCAAGTGGTACGTATATTTATGCGTGGTGTTCTCGGATCGGGTAGAAATATTCAATTCGCCACTAGGGCGCCACTCTTCGATTTCTCCTTTCCACAATTTTTCGCCGCCGTTGAAAATACGCTACAACGGCTGGTAGATCTAACTTTTAGAAACACAAGCAGGAATATCTGACGACTCATTTTTCTACGTCCTCCAAGAAGCAACGTTAGAAATGCTAGAAATTTTCATGCTAAGAATCCTGTTTGGATTATAGAAAGTAATAGATATTGGCGATTAAAATGAGAAAGAAATGAACGCTTTAAAAGAAGATTAATCTTAATTGGATCAGTTAAATTAAAAATTATAAAAAATTAAGTTAGGTCCTAAATTTCGATCCCTGCAAGTGTAAACGCAGGGACAAAATAATATATTACAAAATAAAAGGTTTTTAATTAAAAAGAATTATAAAGAATGACAATAATACGACTAGTAATTTCCAAGAGAAGCAATACCGGTACTCAAATGATCTCATTACATCGTCGTTTATTCATTGCTTCGTTTTCTTCTGTTTTTGCGATCAGGCTAATTAAACTAGTTTTACAGTAAAGTATTCAATTACTCGTGACCATAAAGGTCGAAGACGCGGTACCTGTTGCAGGACAACGATCATAACGAAAGCTTCTAAATAGTGATCATTGATTTTCCAGTCGAATGGAATTCGTTATGTCAAGAAACTTCAACGGGGTAGCGTGTTCATTTTGGACTATACTTTCCGGTTGCGTGCAAACGACAAAGAAGAGAGAGAGAGAGAGAGAGAGAGAGAGAGAGAGAGAGAGAGAAAGGAACAGTTGTAATTATCGAATGATACATGGAGGAAGTGACATTTCGTGCTTTTTGACGAAATCAAATCGGTTGGAAACCTGTTTCGTCTTATCGAGAATCGATTACCGATCTTAGTGTTCCGTGAAATTACTGGTTTACAACGTAAATGAAACCACCGTTGGAAAACGATTATATTTCGATACTGTTTTACGATGTTTCCTGCGTTTTCGATTGATCGACACGCATGTTATCTACTCGCGTGCACTTGTAATTGAACCTTTCAGAAATCAGACTTGATAAACTTTACTTTTTATCATTCTGTCAATTTCGTTATATAACCGCGTGATTAATATCTCATTCCTGAAACATGAGTGAGATTATTTTCAAGAAAGTGAAAGAAAATTATTACTTTTCAATTTATAGAGTTCGTCAGTATTAGCTAACAGTCGATATGAGTTTTAATTCGTTAATCAGAACAATAGAATTCTTTTAAATTTTTTACAGATTCGATAGTAATCAAGATAAAAAAAAATTTGTAAAAGAATTTTTTTACGTTTCAATTTATACATATAATCGACTACTGATTAGTGAATGACTTAATTAGCTGTGAACGACATTTGATTATGAAAACTAAAAAAATTTTTTAACAAATATAAAAATCCCGTATAATATATCATGTTACATGTAATACATATTTCTCATATTTTTGTCGAACATTTATTTCTGTACATGTTGCAAGAAATAAAAAAAAGATGTATTCCAACACTTTCACCAAAAAATCAGAAAAAAGCTTATCGGCAAATTTTCAATCTTCCTTTTACGACAGCGATTTAAAAATGCCGTACCGCTGGACAAGAGAAAATAGATCAACGATCAGAAGTCGTTGAACGAGGTAGGCAAAACGAAGAAATGGATAATTAGAGAAGAACGCCGGAAGCGGAGGAAAATGGTGAACGAGTCGCCGGTGAATCCAGAGCGTTGCCTTTTCTCTTCGAAAAGGAAAGCAACGTCGGAGGAAAGCAGCTTGCGTAGATTAAGCGAAGCGTGCCAGTGAAAAGTGATTTAGATCGGACACGCGACGCATTTCAACGCAACGACGCCAGATTCCGTGTCCGAAACGCTTCTTCGCCGTGTTTTAACGACCATGCGCCGCCACCATTGTCTCGCTATTTTCCCGCGGAAATCATAAGATAAGCGAGCGATCGCGTTGCTCGTCGGATCAATTGGCATTTAGCACGCTCGATGGAACGGCGTTGGGAATAATTCAATTCGTTTATTTCTTCGTCGTGGTGGCTCGAGTGAACGGAACCGATCCACGTGACTGGCTCACTTCGGATGAATTTCACATTTCACATTTCGTCTTGCTCCTTTTCCTTGACGCGTTCCTTCGCCATCGGTACTGTCTCCGTTCTGCCGTTGAATCGTTTCAGCTGCATGGTTACGTACGAACTGGTAAAATTCTTAGAGTTGCCGGTTCCTTGGTTTTCAATACGAAGCGTGCTTACAGATCTGGCCGTGTCGAATGACTTTTGAGGCGGGCAATTGGTTCACATTTGACCATTTTTAGTCGTTGTAACTGGTTCAGGTTATCGATGACGAGTTTGGGAGGTTGTAGAAGTGGCTCTGCATCGACAAACGAAAATTTCCTTCGATTTGAGAAAAAATTATTTTCATTGATCGATGGAATTAGTTTTCGTTTATGCACGCATCCACTGTATCGTGGATTAATTAACACTTTCTCTCTGTTGAATTCGATCACGTAGCCGAGAGCTTTATCACCGCAACGAGAAGATTTTGTCACCGTAAAAGTTCGTCTGATGAAATAACCTTCTCTTTTTCCTTTCGGTCGGAAATTAGCTAATTGTTAAATCAGCGTTGCGATCTCGAGAAGGGCAGGCACTGTCCTGTGATATTTATGGCTTTACTAATAAAGAACAATGTAGTCCATACGAGATATATCGAAGCAATTATAATGCAATGTTAATAAGGAGAAATTAATAGAAAGGAAAACGAAAGAGTGTGCAATTTGAATTGAACGATTTACGCTAAATTTGCAATTCTTTCGAGTCTGTTAACCTTGAACAAGTAACAAGTCGAGAGAGTGGTGCCAAGACAGCGGTGTTGCCCTGAGAAATTGAAACCAATTCACAATCCTTTCTTAGATTTCAAGTTTTACGGTAGAAGTTAATTCCTTCCAAGAACATTTCATGCCATAGAAGGATGGCGAACCATGTAAAATCGCTCTCGACTCAAGCGTGTACTTATCTCCGCAGTAAGTGACAAGTGTTCATGTCGTAACTCTCGGTGAACCGATGTTGATTGACAGCTATATCCATCGGAAAGAATGTATCATTTTCCGTCGCGATGCATAAAATCACGTGGCTCGTTTCATCATAGAAATTGCTCCACATTTAAGAAACTTCTTGCCATTTCCTTCGACCAGAGTTTACATTCGATCATATCCAAACGATTAGCGCGACTTCTCGATTGAAAGTAAATGTACCGTGGTAGGTGCTGTTCAGCGCCAAGATTGTTTTCTAAGGGGGTGTGTTTTGCGTTTTTTTTCTTTTCGTATAATCTGTCCGGTATGGATTGTTAATCATATTCGAGGAACTGCAATCTGTGAAATTGCGGTACGTCGAACCCCCTGTAATCGTTGACAACCGAGGACCATTTTCACTCGCGAATATTCGATTATCCGCAAGGAACCTACGTTCTCCGTTTCAAGATTAATCGCCGGCCGTTCGACTTTTGCAAAAATCCTGAGCGATTGATTTATTCGTACGGACGTAATATGGTCTTATTATGACCGCACGTTGGAAAACATCAAGTCGAAACTTTAACATACTCGTTTCCATCACGTTCGCGTGTACCGTGTATCCCTTTTCCTTTTGTGTATATTGTGTATATTGGATTAGATAACACGTGGGAATATACGGAGGGATTTCAGCCTTCTTTCAATGCTACGGGTCAGGCCGGTGTCCAAGTAAAAGCGTTCGAAAGCCACGCGTACGAAGTCTGTTCCTGGTACACTGTATTGTGAATGTAGATCGTGACTGCATATATACTATTGATCCAAGAATCGTGGCTAGTTAGAAGGTGCACGGACGAGTGACGTAATGAGGCAACGATTGCAGAATAACGAGACCAGATTCTCGATCGAATGTAGCGCAACCGGATGAATGTTCCTGCCTGGTTATGTCTTCCGAGGAAATGAAAAACTTGTAACCACCGTTTCCGGTATGTCGATTTAAACACTTTTAGATTGATACGCATTCTTGATCAGTGTACGATGGAGTCTTTCTTCTCGTAATCGATCTTCGATCGCAAGACGACAGAAATACTCTTCTCAACATTTTTTTACTCGAGTTTTGTTCTATATTGTTTCACTCGAGTTCGAATTCAATGTTATAAATATTATGAAATAATCTTCTACTTTAA